ACTCTTCCAGCAGGAAGAATGGAATAGCTGTTGTGTAGGCACAACTAATAGGGAGCAAACTCATCATAAAGTGTGTGTGTGTGTGTGTGTGTGTGTGTGTGTGTGTGTGTGTCTTTTAAAAAACCACTTAGCTTTGTGTCAGGCTTCATATTGCATTAGTTTTTCCTGTTTTCTTTGGGAGTCAGGCCCAGGTGTATCAGTAACAAGCAATATAATTTTGATTAAGGCATTTAACTTTTCTTGGCTTCAGTTTCCTCCATTGTACAATAAAAGCTTTGTATTCCATCCCCGAGACCTCTTTCAACTCTAACGTTTTAGGGGTCCATGTGACTTTCTTACTTTCCTTTGCTCTAAAAGGAGACAGACTGATGTACTACAGAGAACACTTTCTAGCTGTGTGGATTTGGCAAATTACTTCATCTTCTTGGGTTTTAAGTTCCTCAGTTATAAAATGGGAATAATGTCTAATTTATAAGGTGCCTAGGATTTAAATGAGATAACACATGCTCATTACATTATTTATTTATTTTCTCATTTGACAGATTGGAGCTGATGTTAAGTTCTTGCAAGTGATATAATCCTGTAATGAGTCAGTACTTGGGAATCATAAATATTTTTGTTGAATAGAATTCCTGAAGTGTTTTATAAATTAAAATCTCTCTCTTAATCTAGGTGGAATGTTTAGAAGTATGTGTCAGATATGGACACTAGGGTAAAACATTTTACTTTTTGCAAAAACCTGTGGTTTACTTGGGATTTTTTGGAAATTAGACTCCACAAGGCAGCATTTATGTAGTTGAGTAAAAATTTAGGCTATTAAAAGTTGCTAGTTTCCAAACATATCTTATTGTTTACATTTCACTAGGTACCAGAATATTCTTTGGATTATCACAAATAATTAAACCAGTGGTGCAGTTTATTTTGTAGTCTTGTTTAATTGTGACATACCTATGGCACACATGTCAAAAGCATATGACTGTTTTCAAGATCCTGCTTTGTATTAGAAACGGATGTTTAAACATTAGAGTACTTTATGTAAAATATCATTTAATGACAAGTTATAAGACTTTGGCTAGCAAGTATTATAGAATATAGTTTTTAGATTTTTAAGCAGCCTCTCTTTGCTTGGTCACATCAAATTTAAGTTTCAAAGCATGTTGGAAATGGGCCATCACTAGATGGCAGTCTTTCTCCAGTTTAATCCATTTATTGTGGGGGAGGGAGATAACTGTTCAGGTGCAATGTTGATTACCAATATTAGGTTAATTTCAGGAGATCTATGACTTTTCCAGAATTTAAGACTTGTTTATTTTTGTTTTTAGCATTTTATATCTGATAGCTGGTTAGCACTAAGTCTGAGATACAGGTGAAATGCTGATGTGAGTTGAACTGTTAGGTACTAATTATAGTTGCCTTTTCCTGTTAGGCAGTTTGAAACAAAACCTTTAAATCAGTGGTTTTTAACCCTTTGATAACCAGATGAAAACTGTGGATGTTTTCCTTAAAAATTACACATATGTGCTTCTGCTTATACACATAAAATCTGGAAATTGTGGTTTTCCAGATGCGTACTCATGGAACACAGGTTAATTAAATATAGTCCAAAACTCCTGTTTTAGATGTGTGGGTTTTACATTTTATTCTAACTTTTAAAATTCTCAAGATATTCAGGAGATTCACTATAAATCTTTCATGTTATTCAACATTATTATAATTGAAGAGACTATTAGAATCATAAAGACCCTAAAATAGGAGAAACAGGTGGGGCCTAGTGATAAGGATGTAGAAAATTCATTAACTTGTTTTGAACTACCTCTTTACACTGTTCTGAAAAATGTATGATCTTTACATTATTGCTGACTGGACTTGAAAGTGGAAGTGAATTGCAGAAATTTAGAGCTAGGCTGATGCTAAAGAGGATTTCTAATTGATTGCTTCCTATTTTCTAATGAGAAAGCTGAGGGTGAGAGAGATTAACTGAATTGACCAAAGACTCATAGCTAGTTAATTACATTGCTAAACACCAAGGCCATGCAGTCAGGCAGCAAAAATCCACTCTTCCTTTCTTTGATTTATACTTTTTTTTTTATAGAAAGTTCAGGGAGCTAGGATAAATTATGAATTTCTTAGCTATGAGATTTTCTTCTCCTTGAGGTTATCTTTTGTCATATTAATGTAGATCTTTGGAGGGAGAAAAATAAAAAGTTTTACATTGTAGAAGGAAGTATACTTACTACCTAACTTAAAAGTATTAATGGGTCAAGATATAACTGAATTTGAAACCAAGAGGCTTGTCTCAGTATTGAATAATAATCTTCTTATGCCATTTAGACTGATGAATTTTCCGTGGTTATTCCTCTTCTTCAAATGGCAAGGAATACTGGTGCCTTTACATGGAAATCTTTCTTTTCCTTTCCTTTGGAAGGGGAAAAGTTATGCTTTTTTTGAGGTTAGTTGAAATGTCAATAGTAGATTCTGTCTTGTGTTTCCCAATAGCTCTTCTACGCAAGTGGTTATGCTATAGTATGTCTTAGTTGTCAAAGCCGGGATTGTTTATAATTTATTTGAAGATCTTGTCCCTTTATTTGAAATGAAGGAGAATGAATCTGGATTGCTCTGGTTTTTCTGAAGTAAGTGTTCAGAATTCTTACCGGAATCCAAACTTGTATATATATTTTCTATGGTTACTGCTTGAGTTCTGGGTAGTGGAAGTGATCTGCTGAGGAGTGGGTGCTCTCTTATCCACAGGACCAGGGTGGTGATCTGGTACCTACAAATGATTATAGAACCAGAAAATGTTGGTAATGAGCAAATGTATATTTGTTGAATAAATATCAGAGATCAAAGTGTTCTTAGAGATAATGTTATTTATTTACTCAATGAACGTTTACTCACTGCCTATTACCTGTCTGGCACTGTTGTAGAGGTACAGTGGTGAATTGGCAGACAGAGTTCTTGCCCCGGAGTTTACAATCTAATTGGGATGGGTTGGGGGGAAGATAGATAACAAACTATGGATGATGAGAAGGAGAAAGTTGCTTGAAGATATAGGGGGTGAGTGTTACTAGCCTAAGAACAGTAAAAACAAAATTCTTGAGGCAGGAAGAGGCTAAAAAAAAAAATCCTCTGTAGCAGGAGCATAGAGGATGGAGGAAGGCAAGGCTAGGGGGTGGGACCTAGAGAGAAGCAAGGTTAGAGAGCTAATCAGAGGTTAGATTATGTGGTATGTTATAGGCCGTGGTAAGGATTTGTGATTTTTATTCCTTTTGTAAAGAGAACGAATTGGAGCGATTTAAGCATGAGGCTACATCTGAACTATTGCTTCATGAAGACCATTTTTACTGCTGTGTGGAGAGTATCTGCATTGGGACAGGGAGTAGAGGGGATGAAGAGTGCAGAACGGAGACTTTTACTTTTAGGAGGCTATTGCATTGATCCAGTGTGCCAATGATACAGGTTTAGACTAGGGTTTTAGTGGAAATGGAGGGATGGTGGTCAATTTTAAGATATGTTTTGGAGGTTGAGTTGTCAGGACTTACTAATGGATTGGATGGGGTGTATGATGGAAAGAGGTACATGAGGAGTGATTCCTGGATTTGCATTTTTGACTTGGGCAACTGGATAGTACCATTAGCTGAGATGGGGTAGCTGAGTGGTGGGGAGCATCAGGTTTGGGAGTGGAGATAGTTTGGTGATAGATGATTTTTTTGTTTTTCTATGTTAAAATTTGAGATGGCTTTTGAAAATCCAATTGGAGTTGTTAAATTATAGCTGGGTATTTGAGTCTAGTGCTCAGAATTGAAGGTACAGATTAGAAAGTCTACCACTGTAATAGATAGTATTATAAAGACATGGGATTAGCTGGCATTTCTTGGTGAGAGGGCATAGGTAGGGAAGAGAAGAGCTTTTACGAATATTTACAAAAAGAATAGAGGAGGAGGAGCCCAGGACGGAGATTGAGAAGGCATGTCAGTAAAAGGATGAAAATCACTTAGTGTGGTGTCATTGAAGTCTAGAGAAAATGGTGTTTTAAGAAGGAAGGTATATTTAAACCATAACAAATGCTGCCTTTAGGTACAGTAGGATGGATGCTAACTAATGGGGGTTGAGGAAGTAGAAAGAAGTTTTGCTGGGAAGGGGAGCAGAGAAATGAGATGGTAGCTGGAGGGAAATGTGTAGGTAAGGACAGGTTTCTTAAAGTCATGTTTAAATAGCCATGAGAATGACTTAGTGGAGTGGGAGAAATATATAATACAGGATAGGGATAAAAGGGAATAACTGCAGGAGTAAAGTTCTTAGAGACAACAAGAATGACTGTAGATAAGAGCTTGAAATACTTTTTCCATTGTTATAGGAGGGTGGACAGAATAGGAGTTTCAGATGTAAGTAGGTTGGTTGAGGAGAGGAATTTTTTTTTCCTGAGAGCCAGAGAGAGGGTAGACATTTGAGGAGAGGAGAAGGAAGGTTTTCACACATTTTGGAGACTACAAAGTGATTTTTTGGTGGTGGTATTTGGCGGGATAATTTCATTATTTTTAACTGGTGTCTGGCTGCCCAATTTAAATTTGTCGTAAGATAGCTAAACTGAGTCTAGCAGCACAGTTACGTGATTTCTCTCCAGCAGTGTCAGGTTCTTGGGTATAATCTTGGAGTAAATGTATAGTTGGGTTTATCCAAAATTAAGTTTTTCTAGATTAGTTTAATTGAGAAAGAAAGGTACGGAGGAATTGTAATTCAGTCCTTTCATTTTATGATGAGAATTCTGTGATGAATACTGTCAAACACTTACATATTTTTCAGTAAATAAGGAAACAAAATTTTGGATTTTCCTAAAAAAAATACTCATCTAGCGTTGGGGCAACATTAATACAATTGGATTACTCTGTGGTTTATGTAACTTAAATACCTGATTTCCAAATAAATTTGCTTCTGGGTTTGTAATTCTGTTTCTCTTTCTTAGATGTAAATCTGGTATAATCTCCATGCCATTTTTTTAAAAGGTCTGTCTATGATGGTGAGGAACATGGACGATTCATGGAGAAGCTTGAAACTCGCATCCGCAATCATGACCGAGAAATTGAGAAAATGTGTAACTTTCATTACCAGGGCTTTGTGGACTCTATAACGGAACTGCTGAAAGTAAGAGGAGAAGCCCAGAAACTCAAAGTAAGGAGACTCTAAGACTTGTTTCTCTCTGTCTTGGGGTTTTGATGAACATTAAGAGTGGGGAATACATTGCAGGTGACATATTTGTACTAAACATTTTTGAATAGTAAGAAAGGAGTTTATACTGCAACATAGATAACTGGGATTATGGCTTTTAGCTGGAAAGGATACTGTTTTAAGTTAAAATTTATTTGGGATAACTATGTGTGGATGAGAACCAATGACAAGAATCAGTTTCTTTCACACAGAAACCCGGTTGACTCTTCATGTCATCTGTCTGCTTCCTTGCTAGATGAAAGCCATCACTATTGGATGACAGAATTGCAAGGCATGGCTGTAGAAGTCTTTGCAGCAAGGCAATCTGAGCCAAAGGAAATATAAAATTAGTGTTAGTTGGGGAATGTCTTCTACCAAAGCATGAAAGTTCTTTCTTGATATGACAGATTTAAGTTCAGGAAAGAGGCTAGCTATATTGGTTTTGTCCCTGGCATAGCAAATTCACGTATCTTGGGTAACTGACTTTGATACAGAAATATTACTGTATTTGATTATGGGATGCTGTCCTAGTGCCCATTGTTACATAATAAACAATATATACCATATTATCTTTATAAAATTTCCAAAATTTTGAAGTCCAAAACACATTGGGTCCCAAGATTTCAGATAAGAGTTTATGGACCTGTACAACAACTATCCAATCATCATAAGAAATATAATATTGCCAACAAAATTAAATCTCTCTTTTTTATCCTTCTCAGTGACTCTCTCCACCCTCCCCTCCAAAAGTAACAACTCTTCTGATTTGTTGTTAATGTTCTTTAATGCTTAACTATTTTAACTGAAATTAACTTAGATTCCTTTCTCAGTCAATGTACCAAATTTAATTTCAGATGAACTAAAGAGTTAAATGTAAAAAAACCATAAAGGAACTAGTAGAAAATATAGATGAATATTTATGTGATTTTTAGGAGTGAGGGATACATTTCTAAACACAGTTCCTAAGCCAGAAAGAAAATATTGATAGGTACGACAACATTAAAATGAAAGAACTTTCTACGTAGAAGTTAAAAATGTAAAGGTAAATAATAAATAAAAATATTTACAAATACACATGACAAATGATTGATATCCTAACATAGAAAAAGCCTACAAATTAATAGGAAAAATATGAACACTCTAATAGAAAACTGAGAAATACATGTTAATATACAGTTTACATAAGAAGAAATATAAGGGGACTCTACAATTTAGAATTAAAGGAATGCAAATTTAAACAATAAAGTGCCACCTAATAAAATGACAAAAATGAAACAAATATTAAGATTGGAGATGATACCTATCAACCTGGGAATGCCTGGTTGGAATGTAGACTGTTACAACTTTTAAGGAGAGCAATTTTATTTATCAATACTAAAAACACCACATAGTTTTAAGATTTATTCTACAGCTACACGTGCATGTACAGAGATGTTCATGTGTTTTTTTTTTTAATGACTAAAACTTTAAGATGTCCCTGAAAGTGATGTACTAGAGGATTAGTAAAATAAATCATGGTATATCCATTTAAAAGAGTAATAAACTACAATATATTGTAGAAGGATATCTGACATGGGAAAGCATTAGAAATGTTTGCTTAATGTATAAAGCAGATTAAAAAGTATGAACAATTTGATTCCATTTAAAAAGTTATACTGAGTTTTGGGGGGCTGAAAAGCGTCAGATGGACAGAAGTATCTGAAATATGTGAAAACAAAGATACGGGGCTTCTGCCAGGAGCTGTGTGTGCTGTTTGTCCTCACTCAGCCATCCCAGCTTCCCATCCATCTTCACCTTGGGCTGTTCTTGATGCCTGTATTCCAAAACCTCTCCCTCTGCTCCTTGGGCTCTTTGTCCATGATGGGCAACGGGGTGCTCTGTGTCTGGTTACTGAAGTAGTCATGTGGTTAAGTACCTGAATATTGCCCATAATGCTCACCATTAACACCTGGGAGACTCTGCTCTAGGGGACATCCATTCAACCTGTGTTAAGAGCCTATGGAACTTAGAAATTCTTGAACTTGAGAAAAGAGTTTAGAAAATGGAAAAGGTTAAGTATTACCTGCTGTCAGTACTATTTGAACATAACAATGAAAAATCCTACTCTCTCTAGGATGTCCATTATTTCTTTTGATTCACAGTATGTATGTTGGTACGTGTGTGTGTATATATACACACATACATATATATGTTCTCTGAAGCAACAAGTAGCATCCTAGACAGGCAATATAGATTTCCTCCCATTGTTATGTTCAAATGGTATTGAAATAGTAATTACCTTTCTTATCAGAAGCTTTGGTTAGGCTCCTGTGGATGTTTTAGAACTCTGGTTTGCATGAAATCAATTTAGTGGGCCATGATCAGTATTTTTAATAAAAATTGAAATAGAATAAAAAAGGAAGCAACGAAGTGTATTACATGCAGTAAGTCCAAACATTGTTTCTTAAAAATTTTGTTTCTCTGTGTGTGTGTGTGTGCACGCGTCTGCATTCCCTATACTTGTGTACTGGGTTGCAATGTAAAATATATTTCTTACAATGAGTTTGAGGTAAAAAAAATTTCAGAAATGGTAAACAAGTTATTTTAGTAGAAACAGCAATGCTGAATTTAGTAGTATTTATGGAAGGTTGAATTTTTTGAAATCTGTTTATGTGAAAAAAAATCTATTCTTGAACAATGATCACTCAAGGCAACCCACCCCATTTTTATTCACATCGCTTAAAAGCTTTTTCTTATATTGAGCTGATATTAATCCCATTTTTGAATAACATTCATTTATTGGTTTGAATAATAAACTTTTCAATCTCACTTATTCTAGACCAAGGATCAACAAGCTATATCTTGCAGGCCAAATCCAGCTTGCCTCCTAATTTTGTAATAAAGTTTTATTGGAACACAGCAATGCCCATTCATTTATGTTATGTTTATGGCTGCATTTTTGCTACAATGGCAGTGCATGTGGTAATCTGCTCAGAAAGTGATAGTCCAGGTATAGTGTATAGTGTATAGTTTAGGGCAAAGTTTTCAAAGGTGTGTTCCTGAAAAACTAGTTTCTTAAGATGATCCTCAATAAAAGGATGTTACATAAAATAAGTTGGAAAACACTATATGATATCTCCTTGGGCTTCAGGAAGTCCTGAATAAACTAACCTGTTTAGTGGTATTTCCCATACATATTGATGTGTGTGTGTGTGTGTGTGTGTGTGTGTGTGTGTGTATGTACAGAGTGCAGAGTACCTTTTAACTACCATTTCTTGGTGTTCCAAGAGACATAATAGGAAATGCTGGGTTAAGGTAGTGTCTTAAAAGCGTAAGGAGTCGCAGTTATTGGTGGAAGTATGGAAAGCTTCTATTAAAGAAAGCTTTAGAAGTTAATGTTGCTCATATTTTGATAATGTTTAAGAAAGTGAGGAAATTACTATTCTATATACTTAATTTTTTTATATCAGTTGATTCTTCAAAAGTGGCTACCAAAATAAGTGGTGCCAGTTCCTTTAAATTATGAACTGTACCTAATTTTAAAGCTTGTTCACCTGATTTTGACTGTGTGATCGAGAGATTAATTTAGAAAAATGGGAATGTGGAAGTGTTAGAAACTATTAAGAATTAATAATCCAAAAAATTAAGATAAAAGGTTTTCTAAAATTAGATAAGTAGAAATATTTGACCTGAGTTAAAAAGTTCAATTTATACTCAAGTTTTCCAGGAATACATTGGTGAAGTGAGGACTATCTATGAAAAAATTTGTTCTTTGTACACATAGTAGAGATGGTAAGGTTCTTTGTGGGTTATTTTTTCTATTATATTTTTTCTTTCCTTTCCAAATGAAAGTGTGATCTTTAGTTATGTTATTTTAGTTTGTAATATTTCAAACTGAACATATTTTTTAGTAATTTTTTTTATTGTTCAAAAGGTCATACAAATGTTCAGTAGAAAAGTTGATATAATTTCATCCCAAGAGAACACCACTAAACCAAAATGTGGTGGAATATGGAAACAATCTGAATACCTATTCTTAGTCTTTTCATTTAAAATTTTGATCTTATCCAACTATTATCTAAGTGTTTTTTATGAGTTTAAATTGTCTTCTCTCCACAGAATCAAGTGACGGATACTAATAGAAAACTACAACATGAGGGAAAGGAAGTAAGGCCAGTTTACCTTTTGAAAAAATCTTTTCTGTTTCCTGTCATTCTCTTTGATAACTGTGTTCTTGATTTAGTGGCTTGTAAGACCATAAGCAGCATGTTGGAGGAACTTGGACATTATCTTTGCTTCTCCTAATGTTTATCTGAAGTAAATGAATATAGCACTAGAAAGCTTAATGAGAGTATGTAGCCGCCTTCCTTAGCTGTGTTTTTAAATCACTTGAGTAGTCATAATATGGCCAATGCTGTTTCCTCTGCCTGGAATGTTCTTTCCCACATGTTTACCTACTTCAGACTTTTGCTCCTCACATGTTACCTCCTTCATGAGGCCTTTTCTAACCACCTTATTTAGAATTGCAGTCTCACGTTCACGCCATGTATTCTTTTTATCTTTCCTGCTTTATTTTTCTCCATTGCACCTATCATGCTTTGGTATTATACAGTTTTCCTTATATGTTTGTTTTTTGTTTGTCTCTTTCCATTAGAAATTAAGCTCCATGAGGTCAGGATTTTTTTTTTTTTTTTTAACTGCATTGCCATATCCCCTCTACCTGCCTAAACAGTGACTGGCACAACATGAATATGCATAAGTATTTGTTTAAAAAAAAAAAAAGAATCTTTGATTCTGTTAATTGATATACTCACCATTTAAATCATCATAGTTTATAAGATTATTTTACATCCATTTTCTCACTTAATCCTCATGACAGACCTATGACAAGGTCAGGACTGGTATTATCACTACTTTATTGATTAGGAAACTAAAACAGATGATTTGCTAAAGTTTACATAGTAATTGGAAGGCTGGGACTAAAACCCAAGTTTTCTGACTTACAGTCTATTACCGTTCTCTGTATCATATACCTTCCTCATTGCCTAATACTTACTTAATGTTTAATTTTAATAATCTTTAAGATTAGCCTTTGATTGTCTTATCAGTAACTTAATCAGGACCATTCCCTTTTTTCTTTTTTGCGTAGTATCTAAGTAGATAACTTTTAGGAAAGGGTATGGGATAAATACTATAAGAGGCCATGTAGATTATTGCTTTTTAAAAGTTTGTCTCACATATTTTAAGTTTTTGCAAAGAATGCAGTTTCTTCTAGTTTTATTGTGGTATGACTTCAGATGGAAGACTTTAAAATGTTGTGAGAAGAAAAGTGAGTTACTCTTCATTAAACTGGAACTCTTGGAAAAGCCACAACTTCTAACTGTGTGGTTTATTTGTTGAAATACAGATTTAGTTGCAGATTATTTTCAAGATTCATTTGAAGCTGTATAGGAAGAACTGTTTTCCTCTAGGAGTCTAGCACTGATGACAGAAATATAGGATCTTCTTAGAAGATTGATGAAATATAAATCATGAAGAGTCTGAAGAGGGTGTGGAGCAAATATGCATGCTTTTTCTTTTCTCCTGGATAGCCCCTGAATTTTAAGATTTCATTTCACCTAGCCTTTTCTAATGTAGTATGTATGCATCTTGGGGAGAAAGTGGGAAACCATACAGGGATGTTTTACTGGTTGAGAAAGGCAGTTCCGTAGTCCACTTGGCAGATCTTACTATGAAACTGTCTGGGATTTTCTGATGAATTGAACATAGGGTGGAAAAATGTGACTGAAAGCTTTTTATTTACAGCTGTTGGCATAATTCAGTTTTTTCCCCTCTTGCTAAGCTGGTAATAGCAATGGAAGAGCTGAAGCAGTGTCGACTACAACAGAGAAATATTTCTGCCACTGTTGATAAATTAATGCTGTGTCTTCCAGGTGAGGAACTGGAAATAGAGTAGAATTCTTGATGCAATTCCTTTAGCTTTAATTAGTCTTTTCACTTTCTCTAAATAATGCTTGTGTGCTCTTTTTCCCCTTCTCTTTCAAGTCCTGGAGATGTATAGCAAACTGAGGGACCAGATGAAAACTAAAAGGTAAGATATTTTTTTGTTGAATACTTTGTATTATCTAAAATTTCTGTTATTTAGAATTTTTTTAAAAGTCCATATTTAGCATAACCTTTCAAAAAATAATTAAGTCCATATAACATCTTCTCTTGCCTTTTGTATATCTATTGATTCATCCTGAGAGTTATTTACATATGCTGATGTATTTTGTCATGTATTATGTTTAATAAAAAACACTACACGTAGTTTGATTTTTAGAAGACCCAGCTTTTTAGGGGAAAAGCATGTAACTGTTTTAGTGATAGTTAATTTGAGAAACATGCTTTGGTTTAGTATTATAGTAGAAAAAATAGTTACTGGTTTTGCTGGGGTGGATCAGTCAGGGTTCTCCGTTGAAATAGAACCAGTGGTGTGTGTGTGTGTGTGTGTGTGTGTGTGTGCAGAGAGAGAGAGAGAGAGAGAGAGTGATTTTTTTAGCAAATTGGTTCACATGATTATGGAGGTCCAAATCTGCATAGTAGGCTGATAGGCTAGTGTCAGGGAAGAGTAAATATTGTTCCCTGAGTCTGAAGGCAGTCTGCTGGCAGAATTCCGTTTTCCTCTGGGGAGTTTAGTCTTTTTCCTATCAAGGCCTTTAACTGATTTAACGAGGCCCACCCACATTATGGAGAATGTTCATCTTTACTCAGTCTACTGATTTAAGTGCTAATAATCTCATGTAAAAAAAAAACTTCACAGAAATATCCAGAATAATATTTGACCAAATCTCTGGGTACTATGGCCTAACCAAGTTGATATATAAAATTAACCATCACAAGGAACAAGGTCAAGGTTAAGTTCAGAGGAGTCTTTTCCTGTGTGTTATTTTCATCTGGTTTTATTCCACAGGAAACTTGATAGTGACTCTTTGGCTCTTCTTCCCAAACTAGAGTAAGCATCTCCACCCTCTCTGCCCTGGAGTACCCTGTGGTATGATGGGGGTATGTGAAGCTATAAGATAAACAGGACACATCTTCCTGGAATGTTAATTTTACCTAGTTTTGAGGGGAAAAGTATGGAATTAAAATGTATTTAATACTGAAATAAGATTAAAAATATTGTGAATAAAAATGATAAATTCTCAAGAATTTTAACATTAAAGCATGAGGCATCAATATTTTTTGAATTTCTTAAGATTATTTCCCAAACTGCCTTCTCCCTGGGAGGATACATTCATATAAGAGAACATAGGTTGAACAGTATGAGAAATTCTGTTCAGTGAGATAGAAAGTAATATTATTTCCCTGATAACCTTTTTGTGAAGTTCTAAAATTATAGAAAATTACAGAGATTAAAAAAAAGCTTCAGTATCAACTTCTCTGAATTAACAGATAGCAACAATTCCAGTTTTGATTCATATATATGTAAATATTTATGACATATATATAAACACATATGGACAGAAAGAGGTAAAATGTACATTTTAAAAAATTATAGATAAAACTCATATCCCCTTCCTCAGTCCTATCCCTTTCCCTACTCTGTTGGGGAAACTAGTATCATAAATTTGGTGTGTCCTTCTAGTCCATGTTTTTAATACCCATAAATCATATGTTGTATTTTGTGTTTTTAGAAACATTTACATGAATAGTTCTCAGTCCTTGTTTTTTTGAGAATCATTCATTCAATAAAAATGAATTGAGTACTTACTGTGTTGTTAGGCATTGCTCTTAGTGCTGGGAATATAGCTCTGAACAAAATAGACAAAAATATCTGCTGCTGTGGGGCTTACGTATTAGTGGAGAGCTTTTAAATTTATGTATAGAGATCTAGTTCACTTATTTTAATTGCTGTATAGTAGTCCCATTATATGAACAACCCACATTTCTCCTCTTAATTTGAGTGGCTGTCATAAGTACTGTTCACCAGTATTTCTAGCTCAACCTCTTTCTGGCACAACGAGTAGGTTTATATGTCTTGGGCTCCTTTGAGCTGTATCAACACTGCATACTGAGTTGCCCTCCTATATTGTATCCTCCTTACTCTACTTGGGCTCTCATACCCTGTGTTATGCTTCTGTCTTCCCTGAATGCCCTCCTCATCCCTCTTTGGCTCTGACATTCCATGCAATGCTGCCTTCCTATACAGACAGTCTTACCTCACTAGGTCTCTTGTATCCCATGCTGGTCCATCTTACCCCTCACCCACCAGTATGAATGCTCTCATTTATTTAGGTCTTCTTTAATTTTTTTCAGCAATGTTTTTAGTTTTTAGTGAATAAGTCTTATCTTTTGTCATATTTATCCCTATTATTTTGTATTTTTTGATGCTTATTTTAAATGGTATTGCTGGGGCTTCCCTGGTGGCCCAGTGGTTAAGACTCTGCCCTTCCAGTGCAGGGGGCATGTGTTTGAATTCTGTTCAGGGAACTAAGATCTCACATGCTGCAGCGGTGCAACCAAAAAAATTTTAAAAAAATGCTGTTGCTTTTTAAATTTCAATTTTCAGTCATTAATTACTAGTATACTATTAAATTTGTATATTTATCTTGTATTCTGCAACCTTACTAAATCACTTACTAATTCTAGTAGCATTTTTGTGTATTCCATTGGATTTTCTATGTAGCTGATTATCTTGTCTACAAATAAAGACAGGTATATTTCTTTCTTTCCAATTGGGATGCTTTCTTTTTGGTTTGGTTTTCTTGTTTTATTGAACTGGCTAGAGCCTCCAGTACAATGTTGAATAGAAGTAGTGAGAGTAGATATCTTTGCCCTGTTCCTGATCTTAGGGGGAAAGCATTTAACCATTAAGTCGTATATGTTAGATACAGTCTTTTTGTACATGCCATTTAGAAGGCTGAAGAAGTTCCCTTATTCTAGTTGTTGAAAGTTTCTATCAGGAATGAATATTGTTTTTGTCAAATGCTTTTTCTATGTCAGTGAGATGATCATATTTTTTTTTTATATTTCTTTTTTAGTTTATTAATATGATAAATTATATTGAATGTTAAACCAAACTTGCATTCATGGAATAAATCCCACTTGGTCATGGTAAATTATCCTTTTAAATATGATGTGGTATTTGATTTGCTAAAATTTTGTTGAGGAGTTTTGTATCTATGTTCATGAGAAATACTTGTCTGTAGTTTTCTTTTTTGTAATATCTTTGTTTTTGGCATCAGATTAATGCTGGCCTCATGAATAACTTGGAAAGTTTTCCCTCTTTGGTTTTCCAGAAGAATTTGTGCAGTGTTGGCAATTACCTTCCTTAAATATTTGGTAGAATCTAACAGTGAAACCACTTGGCCTTGGAGATTTGTTTGTTTTTGGTGAGAAAGTTGTTAACTAAAAATTTAATTATAAAAATAAATACATGGCTGCTTGCATTTTGTGTTTCTTGAGTAAATTTTGCTTATTTGTATCTTTCAAATAATTTGTCCATGTCATCCAAGTTTTTGAATTCCTTAACAAAAGTTATTCATGATATTCCTGTATTATTTTAACAGTGTAGGATCTATAGTGATACTTTCTCTTTCATTGCTTATGTTGATAATTTGTCTTTTCTCTCTTTGTTTCTGTCTCTGTCTCTCTGATTATTTTGGCTAGAGGTTTGTCAATTTTATGATTTTTTTGAAAATAGTAATTTAGGTTTTATTGAGTTTTTTTTCCTTGTTTTTCTATTTTACTGATTTTCACTGGTATCTTTAGTATTTCCTTTCTCCTGCTTACTTGGGGTTTAATTTGCTCTTACAAATTGAAGTATAGTTGATTTACAATGTTGTGTTAGTTTCAAGTGTACATCAAAGTGATTCAGTTTTATATATATATATCTCTCTCTCATAATATATATCTCATATTTTCTTTATCCATTCATCCCTTGATGGACACTTGGGTTGCTTCCATGTCTTGGCTATTGTAAATAATTTGCTCTTTTTTTAGCTTTATTAGGTGGAGGCCTAGGGCATTGATTTTGGTTCTGTTTTCTAATGTAGCCGTATAAAGCTGTACATTTCTCTCTAAGCAGTGTTTTGACTGCATCTTACATGTTTTCTGATGTTGTGGGTTTTTTTTTTTTACATTTATTTCAAATATTTTCTAATTTCTTTTGTAATTTTTAGAATTTATTTCACCAACTTATTTAGAAGTTCATTGGTTAATTTCTAAATATTAGGGGATTTTCCAGATTTATCAAAATTGATTTGTAATTTCACTTCATTGTGTTCATAAATGTAAAACGTATGATTGCAACCTTTTATATATTTTGAGACTTGTTTTACGCCCCAGCATATGGTCTGTTTTGGTGAAAATTACATACACACTTCAAAATAATATATATTGTTATTGAGGAGAGCATTCTTTAACTGTCATTTAGATATACTTGGTGTTGTGCAGGTTTTCTCTATCCTTATGATTTTGTATTTGTTATTTGTTGACAGAGGAGTGTTGAAGTTGCCTATTATAACTGGCTTTGCATATGTCTTCTTTCTGTTCTTTCAGTTTTTGCTATGTGTATTTTGAAGCTCTCTTATTGGATGCATATACATTAAGCATTGTTGTATCTTCTTGACGAAAGGACCCATTTGTAATTATGGAAGGTTCTTCTTTATCCCTGAAATATGTGTTGTTTTTCTTTTTTTCTTTTTTTCTGAAATATGTGTTGTTTGGTATTAATGCAGCCAGCCACTGCTGCTTTCTTTTTAATTTTTACATTGTCTGTTTTTAATATCCTTTTTTCTAAAATATTCTTAACAGCTTCATTGAGACACAGTTTACCTACTTTTCACTTCATTCATTTAATGTATACAATTCAGTGGCTTTTAGTGTAGTCAGAGTTCTGTGACCATCACCACAATCAATTGTAGAATGTTTTTATTCTTCACGAAAGAAACTCTGAGCCCCCTGGCCATCAGCACACAATTTTCTCCTGTCCCCTGCCCCCCTTGCCAGCTACTGGGAACTACTGATTTATTTTCTGTTTCTTCAGATTTGCCTATTCTGGACATTTCATATAAATGGAATCATATACTATATCGTTCTTTGTGATTG